AGGGCTGGGCGGGACGCTTCTCGGTTGACTTCGATGAGGTTTCTTGTCGCTGTCACCGCTCAGCTTGCTGCCTCGTATGTCTTGCACGACGACTTGCAACTTCTTGTTCCTTCCAGTGGCCTGCAGAGATCTGGAAAATTCTTGATGCAGATTTTTACTGGCAGATGGGACGTTGCTATTTGCAGACAACTATGTGAATGTGCGAGTATTGTCCTGAAGCTCTTGCAAACCCGAAACTGAAGCAAACGCATCACAAGGTGGCCCTCCTCTAGTGATCTTTTACCGGTTGTTATGCGAATGTGCTCTTGACGAAACCGGGGTCATGAGAGCTTTGCGCACTGCACCATGTTCTTGGTTTGGCCAAATGAGTTTGCGTCTGCAGATCCCAGTTCCCTGCTTGGCGGATCAGGATTACATTCGGTTACATAGGGAGAGCTGCCGGTCCTGACCGCAGCCGCTGGCTGCTCCGTGCAGCCACCAAGTCACGTTGCTCTGACTACCCTACATTGCGTATCTCATCTCGCGAGCTCGTGGCTTCGATGCATTTCAGGGCAATGCCGGAACTTCAGAACTTCAGGTCTTCAATAAGAGGAGAACGAGCAGACAGTCGTGAAAAACTCTTGTTCTACAGTCAACACCGTTTCCGAGCTCGTGTCATCGCAGGTGCTGCGTGCTTATGTTCGTGAGGTGCGATAGGTTTGTGTGGGTCGTTGTCAAAACACCCCAGGTAACGTGCGTAGCGGTTACCTTGTGTATCAATCCCTCGGTAGCCTACTCCCGCAATCCGAACCTGCAAGAGGCGACGGCGATGGCTCTGCGACTTCTAACCCTCGTCCTGCTGCTGGCCACGGCTTCTTGATTTCAACCTGCGGAAATCCTTCGAGGCTGTCAGGTCATCAGGCCATTCCCAGGAGCCTGAAATCCGGGCTCTGGCCGGACGTAGCCGGTCACATTCATTTTGGGATCATGAGCATCGACATCGTCACCATCACCACCTCCGACACCATTCCCGAGATCACCATCAGCACCATCTTCAGGTCGCCGTCCTTATCACCATGACCCTCGCCATGGCAGGTCCTCTCGCACCTTCTTTTGTCGGAGTGGTAGAGGAAGGTAAGGCAGGAACTCAAGAGCAAGCGAAGCAACGATCCAGCTCAAAACAAGGTGGACGAAATGCAGGCTCCTAACCACCTAGACTTAGACCATAAATCTGAAGACGTCAGCCCTCGACCCTGAAACCTAACCCCCCCGCCGCTGCCATGCGCACTGCCACGCAGCACCACGTACTACCAGCACCTCCACGCACTTCCAGTCGCCCGTCGTCACTGTCACCAGCACCAGCACCAGCACCAGCACCAGCACCAGCACCAGCACCGTCATCATAGTCGTCGCTATTCTCATCATCGTCATCATCATCATGTTTACACGGAATCTCATCAACGCCTGGCCCGCCGGCCGAGCTGATGCCGGACTCATCTCGAAGTCCGCAGACACTCGGCGTTCTCTAAGTCTTTCGGCCTTTCTTCCAGTCGCCAAGGTGCTCGGCCGGCGCGTGTCAGAGGAAGACCAGCTGGCCAGCATCGAGGACTTTTGCTGCGTAAGTGTGCGGCAGAGCCTAGCCGACCTAAGACCTACTAGTAACATATTGCCATGGGCTGAGTGCGTTGCCTAATGTGCTTGGACTTGCTTGTCTTCTGCTCGTTTTTTTGCATTGTGGTCACTTTCTTTCTCTGCTTCGATTGCAATCTTGGCCACTCAGCACTGCTTGTTGCCGCTGAGTGCCATATCTTCTATTCTACTGAGTTACAGACCACTACACGCTCCTGTTCAGTCAGCCTTGCAATCACTTGTGGCTCATCGTTGACATGCCAGTCGCTACTACTAGCCTTGTCCACGATCGGTCTCTGCCAGGATCATTATCCTTCCAGTTGTGGCTCGTGGCCACAAGCCACATGCATCCACATGCTGAGTAGATTACCATCGTGGTGCTCAGTAGGCGGTTCTAAAGCCCTAAGCGGCCCTAAGCGGCCCTAAGCCCTTCAGCCAATGCTTGAGAGAAGTGGCAGAAAGGACTCGGCGGAGTCTCGGCGAGAGGATCCCGGGGAGGAGGTGCTCAGCTTTGCATCCTGCTGTTCTAAACCCGAAAGGCCCTAAACCCGAAATTTAACAGCCGAATTTAAGAGCTCTCGGTAGCTGGTTAATTGTATATGCTAGCTGCTAGCTGCGTTCGTGGTCGTGAGCAGTTTCTCGTGGTTGCGACGATGATGGGTAGCGAGCCTCAGGGTCGTCATCTTCGTCATAGTCGCCATCAGCATGTCATGTATTAGCGGTCACGGTCTCGGTCTCGACGATGGGTGGCTTCGACATGCTTTGATCATGTTGACGACGATGAGGACAGCGAGGAAAAACAAGGAGATGATGATGCTTTGGGTAAATGTGATGTTGATGATTATATTGAATATTGATGATGATATTGATGATGCTGCTGCTGCTGCTGCGGCCGCTGCTGCTGCTACTACGTCTGCGATGATGGTTAGCATATATTAGCATCATCCTTGCTATAGTAGTCATGCTCATGATGATTGCGCTCATCATATTTATCAGAACGACAACGTTGTTAACCATGATTGCAACGATGGTGGTTTCGACGAACATGATCATGTCATGCTATTTTGGGCTGTATGATAGCGGCTGTTGCGGAGGGCACGGAGTGTGCGCAGTGACGGTTCAGAGCCTTGACTCTGTCTCTGTGTGTCCGTAGTTCACACGCTTACGCCTGAGTGTGTGTTTGCGAAGAGCATGTCAGATTTGAAACAAAACATGGCGAAGCTTGTTTCTGTGGAGGTGGTTCGGGTGATATGATGTGATGATCTCGATGTGAGATTTTGATGTCTGTCCGTTGGGCGGTGATAGTGGTCTCGTGAGGCTGTGTGGCAGGTTGTCCGCTAGGTTTTCGTAAGGTTGTTGATAAATCAGCGTAATATCTTTAACCCCACTTGGCGGTCCTGTTACGTGCCGTTGGGCCACGCGGAAATGGAGCTGCGCATATAATGTCTCCAAGATTCGTCTTCGGAATTGACAACCTTGCTGGCGTGTCCGTGTGCTCTGGTAAGGTCGATCCATTGCAAAATCCAACGCGTTGGCCGGATATTGGCCGCGAAATGCTTTCTCGGTGTTTGGCGTCCTCCGGAAACCGCGATCCTTTGGAGAAGTACTGAACTCGAGTAGAAGGGGCACTGAAAATGTTACTTTGCTGTGCACTGACTTGACAGGCCTTTTGGCTAATACTCCGCGCAGTTTGTTGCCAGGAAGCAGCCAAAGGCTGGACTCCCCAGACGATTGTGCTTGGCAGCCATGGTCTCCGTGTGTCGCAACGTGGGTTGGTTGCAATTTCCGGAAGCTGCTCACGAGCTGAGAAGGACAGCTACGTGCATCGGAGCCAAGACTAGAAGATGGCGAAGGCGACGATGTGGGAAGACGAGTCTGGCCACAGCGCAGAGATGCGCAGCGACCAGAGCATGGACAGCAGTGGGGACTTCGGGAAGTGCGTTGTAGCTTGTTGGCTGCGGAGATGCAGTTTGGTCATGTTTGTAAGTCCCAGTCGTGGTGGTGAGAGCGTCGGTGACAGGTGATGTGTCGCTTATGAACAGCCACCTGCCTACCTGCCAACTAGCCAATCTATTTGCCCGACCTGTCTGTCAACCTGTTCACTCTCCCATCCGTCAATCTCGCAATCTGGGCTGATATACTACGTCCATACGTACATGTCTCTGGTTACACCTCTGACAGCTGCCACAGGATGATGCCAGCAGCCCCTCAGCCTTCAAGGCGCGTTTTCGCCTGGTGGGGGTGACGTCGGAAGGCGTAGTCGGATAGTTATGAGATTGGAACGGACAAGGTGTGGATCGACGTTCTTGGATCATTGACTCCAAGAGTCCTCGGAAGCCTTACATGCGCCCACCCTGCACCCTGAACCTAATCCGCAAGTTTGCCAATGCTCATCAGGGCCATGAGCTCCAGGATGAGGAGGCTGAGGCCGTCACCGTCCAGACAGAGAGCCTCGACTTCTAGTGCCTGAAGGGACGTGTTGAAACGTTGAGCATTTGAGCTTCGGGTTTCGAAACGAAGGTGTCGAGCTCCGGTGCGATGGTTCAGGAGCTTCTTCCGATAGTGTTCAATCTGATCTGTAGGCCTGCCGGGCTGAAGGCAATCTCAGTGTCAAAACTGTTGCGGCTCCAATTGGGGCTTGGGCCGGCTCGGGCTCTCCAGTCCAGAACCTATAGCCAGCATTTTCATGGGCCATGCCCCATCGCTGTTTGCCCAGGATCACGGAGAAGTGCTTCCTCGAAGAGCCGCTCGGTCAAGATTTGCCTCCGTGACTGCTTCCAACATAAGATTTCTGGCATTACTCGCACTGGCTCCAAGGCCGTTACTGCGGTTGTCCTGCTTCCTCCCGTGTTCGTCAGTATGTCGACTTGTACCTGCAGTGTTAATGTTTGCTGTGCGATACTGTTGTTGAACGGCGACTACCACCAGACCACTACCACGGCACAAAGCAGCTGCCACGGCTCCGCCACCCATCCCCACTCTCCCATCCTCCCACCTCAACCCCCACCAACAACCACTGCGCCGGCGCCACCATCAACACAATCACCACCACTGTTGTCTTGTCGTTGTTGTCGTCGGCCATGGTCGTAGTCGTAGCTGCCGCGTTGTTGTTTCGTCAGCTCAGTCATAGTGACCTTATGCGTGACGGCACCTAGGGATGCTGCTGTTCGTGGCAGAGGTGGCAAAGGCCTTCTAGTGTGGGTCTGCGATTTCAGTCATGGGGGTTTATCCATATCCGAGCCCACAGCAACACGAGGGAGAAGAAGCACATTCCTTAGACGCTGCACGAGGAGTTTGGCTGGGACTGTGTTCGGAACCCTGAAGCCTTTCGCTTGCGAGCACCGACACCTCAGGCTCAGTGTGTGACACCCCGCGACCCCATGCTTGCTGAGGACTTACCTGAAGTTCAAGCCCGCCTCTTGTCGCACATGGACATCCGAGACTCCGGGTCTTGGGAAGTTGAGTGCTTCGGTTCGGCTGGCCTATTGCAATCTATGGTGGTTGCTCCGGAGGAGTTGTACACTCTGTCCGAAGTCTGGCTGGGAATCAGGTCTATGAGGGTGTGATGCTGATCACCGTGCTCTCAAGACGCCTTCTCTGGGAGGACTGCTTCAAGATGCTCTGCTTCCTTGTCCAAGGATGTCAGCACAAATAAGGGGCAAGATGACTATGCTCTTTAGCACATGAATCCGGCCAGACCTCAGAATCTCCTCGCAGCTGTAGAGCTCTGCTCCAGGACTTCTCCTCGATCCTCTCCAAGTTCCGTCAGAACGTCGGGAGCCCAAAGAAGCAAAGAAGCCTCCTCCCGACTGAAAGAAGAGGCGTTGTGCTGCCCCGCGTGTGCGAGGTCGCTGACAGTTTTCCTTCTCTGGGCCACCTGAACAGCGACAAGTCCTTCATCACGACCTCTTAGAGGGCTCCAGAGAGAGTGACGAGAGGCAAACCCCCCAGAGCCCCAGAACCCTAAACTTCAGTCATCCCCCAGTCTGTCCCTTCTCACCGCCACTCCCCTTCCCCTTGCCGGAAGGACCGTCGGCCTGCACCTTCAAAACATCTCGGAGCAGGCGGAGAAGACTCGAAATCGGGGGCGCAGGGCGCAGTTCCGCCCAAGGCATCTCTCCAAGCGGAAGCCAGAAACTGAGGTGGGCTTCACGACGGCGCAGCTGCTGAAAGCCGAGCACCCTGGCTGATGACCATGGGGACAAATCTCTCTTGGGTCCTCCGAACCAGGACGCAACAGCTACGCATGTGTAGCCAAACACGGAAGACAATGTGAAGATGGCTTGTCGCCTTAAAAAATCCGGCAGAAGATGCCAACGTTAATGTTGACGCAGTTGTGCCTTGGTCTGTGAACTGCTTGGACGGCCCCCCCGAAGTCCATGAAACCATCGAATTCGGCGGGCTGTCCAAGATACTAGCTGAACGCCACAGTGAATCAAGCTCCTAAGAGCCTCTTCATTAGGCTCCATCATTGGCATACAAAATCAGCTGTATGCAGGATAATGAATTTGCAGGCTCCACCATTGCTCCAACTGCAACCGACATGGATGCGAAGGTATGAAGACTTCCAAGCACTCGGGCTTGCCGGCATGAAGTGCCTCGGCAGACTCTCAGGGATCATGGGTTATGGCTTCAGGCAGCCAGCATGCTCCAATGGTAACAGGGATTCATGAGACTGACACTCCCATCCCGAGTGCTCATGTGTTGTCAAGCATACCTCTTGAGGCCTTCATGGTTCTTGTTGTCGTGCCAACCTCGTCGTGTGATCCCGTGCATGTGATGCGTCATGCTGTCATCACTGCGGACTGTCTAAGATGACGGATGCTGATATTGAAGTCAGGGAAGGGTGGCAGGAACAGCCACAGGTCCCCAGGTTACAAGGTGGACGTGTGTCTGCACATCCCGCCAAGCAGACCGAGGAGCGCACGAAGGCTTTAAAGTAGTAGGCCTGCGATCACAGTTGCCTTGCGCCACCATTTCCATTTTACCTGTGTGTCATCATATTCTTACACTGAGGAGTTGTCCTCAGTTACATTCGGATTCAACGAAGTCGTAGGATCGTTCAGGGAGGTTCGTTCGTGGGGAGCGCTTACTTGGGGAGCCAGGTTGTAAACCTCCCATGGACCCCCCCCCCCTCCCTCGAGGATCCGAAGACTCAGAGCCCCGATTTCTTTTCGCAAGCCCTCGCCCTCGCAGGCACCGCCAGCGGAGTGCCAAGCGGCAAAAGGCTCTCGAGCAAATCGAGGGCTCCTGAGCCTGATTTCAGAAGTGCCGTGCCTGCCAGGGCTGCGTACTCCAAACGAATACCCGCGCAAGAAATACCGCAAGGGCAATCATCGACCACGACAACCCCAACAACCGCAACAAGCACAACAACCTTGACAATCACAACAACGATCCCAACAACCACGACCGCCACATCCCCAACGACTACAATGACTACAAGAACCACACCATTAGGCCACAACCACCAACAAGAAGAGGAGCAGGAATGACAATAATTATAAGAGCAAGCATAAGGTGTGCGGTTCAAATGCTGGCATCGAGTTTTTTTTTTCGGTCTGTTTTGGTTTAGATGCATTTTTTTTTTGGTCAGGTTCGAAAGCTTTTCTGTGTGGAGCATTTTTTCCTCCTGCTCCTTTTGCATCCTTGTGGTCTTTTCTGGCTTCGGCAAGCTTCCAGGTTTGTGGTTGGTGCGATGCCGGATGAGAATGTGTCGCAAATACTGTGGCTGCCCACAACTTTCGCGTCTGGCATTCCGTAAATGCAGGCCAGCAGCGGGAAAGATAACTACTGTGGGAATTAACAAGCCTTCAACGAGATTCAACGAGGTCCTCAACCAGAAGCTCGACGTTCCAGTAGCATAGTCAACTGAACCGTCGACATCTTCCATACAGCAAAACATACTACACAACACACGTCCGCGGACAAACACAGGAGTCCAGTAGCTGCTAAGCTAGTAGAAGACCAATTGAGACGCGACGAAGCTGCGCAGCCGAGGTGATTTGTGCTTCGGCATGCGGAAATTCCTTGGCAAGGTCAAGGGCGCCCCTCGATTTGCAGAGGGAGGGCCTTGGAGTTCAGACAGTCTTAGCACTGTCGCCTGGCAGCCCCTAAAGTCAGCTCCCACCTGAGCCTGCAATCCAGAGCCCCTCATCGAGCCTCGAGTGATCAAGCACCGAGCGCTTCGGCTCCAGGTGGAGGAGGGAGGTGGTATGGTCGGCGATCCACACCACCTTTTCCACATGTGGCAGGCCACTTGAGGTTTCATGATCGCTAAGGGGCGACCAGGGATGAGCGCTGCGGCGGAATGAAACGATTGTTAGCCCAAAGTTCTGCGACCCGCAGAGACTGAATTTCAAGTCCAGCTTCAAGCCTTTCATCGCCCATGTGCACAGGCGCCTGTCAACCGGAGCTGTCAGACCTGCACAATCTCCCCAAACCAGGTGTTTAGCCCGTCCAACGCCCTGATACGCCCTGATGGCCCTGAGTTCAAAGCTCCCCATGGAAAGGAAGCGATGGGAGCCGTGCGCGTGATTGTGAAGGTCACTACACAGTGCCGGGCCTCGCGGCTTTCTTGGTCTTCGAAATCTTGGAAACTAGAGAGAAAGAGAAGGCTTTCTTGAGTTAAGCCGGACCGCAGGGGCACTCGAAGGAGTTCCTTCGCTTCAGATGACTTGCTTCTGCTTTTGCTGGTCCTGTTGGAGCGGGGCAGTTCTCGGAAGCCGCATGTCGGAGAGTTGTCTCCTGGTTTCGCGTCGCTCTCACCATCTCTCACCTCTGGCTTTCGCTGCTGGAGCTCCTGCTTGTTTTCCATCTGAGATCGAAGTTCCACCGGAGTACGATGCAAAGTCTTTCATGACCAGGCAGCATCAGGACTGCAGCGTGTTTCTTGCTTGAAGGGTTTTTTCTGTGTCCACTGCAATACATGCCGCTAGCTCTCCGTTCGAACTGTTGTGCGCACGACCCTCTTCATTCACGTATGTCAGCCTGCCAGCACTTGCATTCCCGGGATCACGAGGGGCCTCAAGCTTTTGCTCGCGAATATCGGCTGGCAGCCTTTGTGCATCATGTGCTACTCAAGGCCCCGCCCCATGTCAGGAAAGTTGATGGGCCTCACTCCTTTCAGTCCTTCCTGCACCTTCTTGATTCCGGCACCTTCGACAGACCCCCGCTCGTTTCAACTCGAGCCCCATACACAGTCCGCAGAGCTTCGGCAAGATTCGTGGAGGCTTGCTCCGGCTTTCAACTTGCAATCCCTTGCAGGACCAGTGGAAGACCTGCAACCCATCCATCCCCTACATGGAAGATGAGTTCCCTTCGGCGGTGATGTCGCTGGCCTGCAGTGTGTGTAGGGCTGCAAGGTCTGCTCACAGACGCCGAACCTCAAATCCGAGTGGCAAGGCCTATTTTGACCGTCGTCTCCGTGCATCAAAGTGTGTGTCGAATTGGACCACACGAGCAATACGCACGGTTTATCTTGATTTTTGGGCTTCCCCAGCACATATTATAAAGTGATGGCCCAGTGTTCTTGCATGTTACAACTGTGACCGCAAGCCTCGCACGGGTTGATCAATTTGAGCTGCATTCGTGCAGTTTCCCAGGGCCTGCGCCCGCTCAGACGAAGCGCATCCAAAGTATGGAGGTCAAGATCGGCTCCGAAGCAGCATGGGCATGGGGCTTCAGTGAATTCAGGCCTGATGCCACAGAACCCTAACGTTAAGCTTTCGTTGTAGCTTTGGTCACATGACTCTTCTGTGCGTTGTGTTCCAGTTGTGTTTCGGAGACTCGGCGTCGTTGATTGGGTTTTGCATGTTTTTGGTTTGGTACCATGGGTTCTGCTTGTTTGTCTGACCGCCTCTGCCCGCACTCATATCGATCAGCCGGCATGGAGCACGTAACCATCATATTTGCCATCGTCATTGCTGTTGTTCTCCTTCGTGTTACTGACGCATCAGCTTTGATGCTGGTGGTGTTCGCTGTGAAGTGGCGACTGCGTAGATGCAAGACAACAAGCTCTCCCGGCTGCTGCTGATGATGATGATGAGGAGGAGAGTGATAACGCAAGCCCACCTTACTGACCCGTTTCAGGCGCGCTTCTGCCAAGCTTTTAGTACTCTTCAAAGGTGTCTGTTGGCGGATGCTGCTCTTCAGCGTGCGTGGCCTGCCTGGTGGCAGACTGCTTCTGTCCGCGCTGCAAACCCGCGTGGCCCCGTGTCGCTGCTTTGGTCACTTACGTCTGAGTTTCAGTGGACTTGGCCTGCCCCTTTCACACTTCGCACTGCCACCTGCGACCTGAACCTTCTTACTCTTGAGCCAGCTGCGCTTGCTCACGAGCTTCGCGAAACCGCCCGGCTTTGGGCTTGGCGCCGTGCTTTTCGGTTGCACAAGCACTACGACGGTGTTCAGCACTCTGGTGTTGACCGCGCTGCCACCATGCACCTGCATGCGTCCCTGTCTGACCTTGAGCGTGGGTTCTTGCGTGGCATCTTGGCCGACGCTCAGTGGACTGCTTCTCGTGCCTGCAACGCCGGGGAAGCGCTGACCTCCGCGTGTCCTTGTGGTGCTGCCAAGCAGGATACGCTGCACTACTTTTGGACTTGCCCTGACTTAAGTGTTCTTCAGGCTCGGCACCCTGAGTTGTTTTCCCTAAAGGACTTGCCTCTGCTCTGGCCTTCTTGTCTTACCTTGTGCGGCCTAGTCCCTGCCGACTTTCCTGTTGGTCCTGCAGAACGCAGGCGCGTTGCAGCTCTGACGCAGCGGTACCTTCTTGACGTGTGCCACTTCCGTGCCGGTGAACACGCGGGTGTACCTGACACTCCGGAGTCGCAGGCCCCTCCCCCCGAAGCTTCTGGCTTTTGCGAACCTGCGCAGCCTTCTGAGCCCAGTGCCGCTCCTTCGCCTGCCGCTGTCCTGGAGGCTACCGTTGTTTTGCCTGACCCGTCTGTCCAGTTTTCAGCTGCGAAAGGTAACGTGTTTCCTTGGCCAGCTGCTTTCCGTGACGACCTCGTCACGTACTTGCGCACCCTTCGTTGGCCCTCTGTTGGCGCATCTCTGCCTAGTAGTGCGTCACCCCCTGGGTCGCTTTCTGGCGTCACCTGGGCTGATCTTGCAGTAAACTTTGAGGTTGTGACTGGCAAAGCACTGCCGCGTGCCGTCTCTCGTCAAGGTGCTTCCCGCCCCTACGGTGCCCCCTCTGGTGCCTTGCTCAGTGACCAGTCTGACCTTTTCCACAAGGTCAAAACGCTCAGCAATGCTTGTCGCAGTCTTGCGCGCTGCTTCTCCACTCCTGTGGTGGCCGGCAAGCAGTCGTTGCACAAGATTCCGCACCTTGCAGGTAAAAACGTGTTTCGTGGTCTCAGTCAGCGACCTGTCATGCGGAGTGAGGCTGAGACGCACCAGCGGTTGAAGGACTGTTTTGATGCGCGGGTTGGTGATGCAGTCCGAAGCTCTATCGCGGACATCACTGCCCTTGAGGCTCCTCCCAGGCAGCAGCCTTTTGCGCTTGCCTTTTCACGTGTGACACCGCTCAAGTGGACGCCTCCTGTTTCTGAGGCTCTTGCCCCTGCGCCTGACTCTTCTGTGCAGGCCAGCGCTTTGCACACTTTGTACAAGCAAGGCTCTAGATGGCACTGTCGCACGTGCGGTTGCGCAGCGAGCGCTCGGCAGAAGGCGGCTTTTGCTACTGCGCCCTGTCACGGTGACCTTGCTCATGTGTTCAAAGCTGAAGGAGCTCGCTCTAAGCAGCACAAGTGCCTTCACTGTTGTGTGGTGGCCACTGGTCAGGCTGACCTTGCCCGTTTGCAGGCACTTCCCTGCCCTAAGCTTTGTAGGCCCTCGGCCCCTCGACCTGACCCTCACGGTGCCGACGCCGCTGCTGCCTCGGCTAAGCCCCCGGTTGTTAAGCCTCCACCTGAGCTGCACCACCCCGTGCCGTGTAGCACAGGGTGGAAGTGTGCTAACTGTCCCCTCACCTGTCCTACGAAAGCGGCTTTGGCCCGCTTCAAGAAAGCAAGGTGTCTCGGAGACCGCGCGCACTCTTACGAGCAGCGGTCTGGCTCCACTTCCTGGACCTGTAGCAAGTGTGGTGACAACGTCGCCTCTG